CCTTCATACAATGGTGTGTCACGCGAATATGGCGCCTTGTGAATACAAAGCTCACAAGAGAGAGGTATTCCAAACCTAGTACTGAATACCAGAAGTGATGAACAAAACAACGGAACCCGCTAAAAGGTTTGTAATATAAAGACCAAAAGTGAAGAAACTAAAAAGCGAAAAGAGGATTTTTATTAGGTATTCAGTTTTCTTCCGTTATTCGGATATGCTTACGATTTATCTTCATTACAAACCTTTCTGGATTTGCTTTAGCAAACTACTATTTTTATTTATATTCGATTGTTTCCTAATATAAACAAAAATAGTAATCGTTTCAATCTTTTATTTGTACGTTTTAAGCTATTTTTTCAATTATTTGTAGATTTTGTATTTGCAACAACAGAAACAGACGAAAATAGGGTGAGGGTTTTTTTTTGAAGAATTTAGTAGCAGCGTAAATTTTCTGTCATTATATGTATGTATACACAGAAGCAGCAAAGAGTAAAGTCAGTGTATTATATTAAGGAGTATAGTGCCATGGTGAATATAGTAGATGAGTATAGTGGTCGTAATGGGGTCGTGTAACTTGACAGTGGCGCTTGGAAGGAGGCCATTTCCTAGACCTAGACAACTTACGACAAGAGAATATCGCGTGAATTTATCGTTGCGTCTCTCGTTCACCCCCAACATAAATCCTAATTCCACTTTCCTCGGGCCTAATTTACACGCAAGTTATTCTCCGTTGCAAAAATGAAAAAGGAGAAAGACACAACATTTTGCATACCACAGCTTTCAAGTGTCTAATAGAAGCCTTTATCTTAATTGCTTTATCCTCAGTTCGAAAGTGTGTCTCTCTCCTATAAAACTGTTCACGAGAGAATATTCGCTACTCTTCCAAAAAGAAAAAAAAATAATTAATAAAATTCATTGATCGAACTTCGAATTTAGAAATCGTTTCGTTTACAAAATAGAAATCGGCAGAAGTCGGTCTAAAAATAGGTGCACTATTTAAATGATGTTGATTTGAATTCCCTTATACATACAAAAATGTTGAAATTAATACCGCTTGTGAGAGAAAAAATTACTTTTTCAAATAGATATAGCGAAAATGTTTAATAACTTAATTACATTATTTTATAAATCTTCTTTAGACTTATTTTTATCATTGTTAAATAAACTATTTTTTTAAGCTTATAGCATATTTTTTATATGACATGCAAATGCACTCATCTACTAAAACTTACTATTTACTACTTTTTTTTACGTTATGCTACTATTTAGGCACTTTTTTTAGATTTTAGCCATTAAAAGCTACTATTTCTGTTTTTTTTTTTAGAATTTCCACTACTTTAAAATCGCTAATAATAGAAATAAAAAAACTATTCTCAAAAATTGTAATCAAATTCTTTAAAACGATTCAACTATTTTCAAAAAATATTCGAAATTCATTTTCAATATCTAGTATTTTATTTATTTATTTATTTAACGTGAATTTTCTTCGTATTTTCTTAATATTTCGCAAAAGAATTCAATTATTTAAAATAAAAATTGATAAGATTCATACAAAATTCAATTATTTTCATAAATAATAAAATTTCCACATGAATTCAATTAAATTAGAATAGCATTTTAAAAAAAACATCAATTATTTAACAAAATTTTTATACGATTCTTCACAATAATTCAATTACTTTCACTAATAATAACATTTTTCATGGAAATTCAAATTTTTAAAAAAAAATTTTGATAAAATTCTAATCAAGAATTCAATTATTTTTATAAATAATAAAACTCATCGAGGAATTTCAATTATTTTTAATATTATTTTAAATTAATTAATCGAAAAATTCAATTATTTTCACAAATAAAGTTTTCCACAAGAATTGAATTATTTAAAATAAAATTTTCATAATATTTATTATATGTTTCGAAAAATTTAATTATTTAAAACAATGTTTACAAAATTCTTATGAACAATTCAATTATTTTCAAAAATAACAAAATTTTTCACAGACATTCAATTTTTTTTAAACAGATTAATAAAATTTTTCGCAATAATTCAATTATTTTCATAAATTATAAAATTCTTCTCAGGAATTCAATTATTTTTGGAAATTTTAATAAAATTCTTTATAATTATTCAATTATTCTCATAAATAAAAAAAAAATTCATCGCAGGATTTCAATTATTTTTAATACAATTTTACATGAATTGCTCAAAAAATGTAATTATTCTTAAAATTTTAATTTCAATTCTTAAAAAAATCAATTATTTAAAAAACTGTTTTTTTTTTAATTTTTCGGAAGAATTCAATTGTTTACAAAAATATTAGTTTTTCACAGGAATTTAATTATTCTTTTAGATTTTAATAAAATTCTTCGCAAGAATTCAATTATTTATTAATTAAGTCGATAAATAACAAAATTATTCTCGAACATTCAATTATTTTGAGTCATTTTAATAAAATTCTTTGCAAAATTAAATTATTTTCATAGACAACCATATTCATCACAAGAATTCAATTATTTTCAAAAGTAATAAATTTCTTCTTGAAAATTCAATTATTTTAAAAAATTCTAATAAAATCGTTCGCAAGAATTCAATTATTTTCATAAATAATAAAATTCTTCTCAGGAATTCAATTATTTTTGTAAATTTTAATAAAATTCTTTTGCAATTATTCAATTATTTACAAAAATATTAAAATTTTTCACAGGAATTCAATTATTTTAAAATATTTTAATAAAATTGTTCGAAAGAAATCAATGATTTTAAAATTTTAAATACAATTTGATTTAAATTTTTTTGAAATAATTCAATTGAGGCCTTGGATCCAATAACTCGCCCGACGCTTGGAGGAACGCGCAACTGCCAGTCAGTGAGCAGTGAGCGCCTCTGGGCCACTCACTGCTACCCGACTGGTATTAGCGCGTGCCTTCGAGCGTCGGGCGAGTTATTGGATCCAAGGCCTCAATTATTCTTTTAGATTTTAATAAAATTCTTTTCAAGAATTCAATTATTTACATAAATACTTCTTCGAAATGAATTCAATTATTAAAGATAAATAACGAAATTATTCCCAAAAATTCAATTATTTTGAGGCATTTTAATAAAATTTTTTGCAAAATTCAATTATTTTCAAAAGTAGTAAATTTTTTCTTGGAAATTCAATTATTTAAAAATATTTTTATAAATATTTTTCTTCGTAAGAATTCAATTCTTTTCATGAATAATAAAAATTTCTCAGGAATTCAATTATTTAAATTAGAAGTTGCATAAAATTAGTCGAAAGAAATCAATTATTTAAAAATTTTTATAAAATTCTTTACAGGAATTCAATTATTTTTATAAACATTTAAATTCTTTCATGAATAATAGAATTCTTTGTAGGAATTCAATTTATTAGCAGATTAAGAAAGAAGTAAATATTTTTGATGAAAAGTAGTAAAAAGTCAGAAAAATAAAAATATGGAATGGAATTTTTGTCAGTTTTGTGAAGTGTCTAAAACGAGTTTTTTTTGGTCGTCAAGTTTAATTTTTCGATTGCTAATTTTTTACTACTTTTTAAAATTTGAAAGCTACTTTTTGCTACTTTTTTAAAATTAATTATCGAGTGCGAAGTCTATAATTTAACAAAATTTTATTTAAAATAATGGCAACACTTATTTCAAACTAATTAATATTTTTTTAATAAAATAGTATCAACCTTACATCTCAACATTTTACATATTTCATTAGACAACATTATGCTTCTAGTTCTAATTTACAAATTATTATATTTTCATATTTTTTTAATTCAATACAGAAGTTATTGCTTCAAAAAAATTGAATTCAAATAGCATTTGCGCTATTGGGCCAATAGATTTTTTTTCTCTTTGTGGCGCAGATAATTCGAAATTTGAGGGATAATTTCGAGTGACCTAACTTTTTGCAATTTATCAGTGACATTTTTAATTTACTAAAATGACTGCAGAATAATATCGAAGACGGAGCGGTTTTTATTAATAAACCTTTCCAAATGTAATTCATAGAATGACACAAGTTACGTGTTATTGTGCTCGATTGTAAATAGAACAATAAATTGTGGGAAAGAGTCAGTCGGTTAACTGACATTCAAGGCTAGAAGATTTGATATATTAATGATGATTTAGCCGACGGATGATTTATCTCCCTCTCAACGAAGTCTCTGTCTAAAAATTCTCTACGCACACACACAACAAGTTTCAAAAACTTTTTCCCCTTGGCCTCCATTTTTTTTTTTTTTATATAAACAGCAAAACTTATTAAACTTAAATAAAGCTTTTATGCTTTTAAAAGGTAAGTTTACATTTTATACATTTTATACATTTTTATACATTTCATACATTTTATTAGGGACCCCGGTGGAATAGTGGATGAAAGTATGAATTTAGAGCTCGGAGAGTATTTTTTTCGGCCAATAAGGAAAGGGAGTATAATATGTGGCTACTCGTCTTGGGTTTAAACTCTAAACATGGATTTCGCTCTGTAGCTTGTCCGGAATTGCAATTTTTACGATTTCAGGATGTAATACATTAAACGCGGTACTTTGGTGCCCGCATCCAGCTGCCGTGCATAAATTCCAAGATTTTCGACCCACACGAAAAATTTACCCCCAAAAACAAGAAGATTTTTTCTCTTTTCACAATTAAAGCTCAATTCCCTTTAATTTGAAATTATTATCAAAAAATTATTTTTAGAGTAATTTTTCCAAAAGATTTAAATTTATTTGTCCAACACATTTTTCCTGCAGATATCAAATTGAGACAAAAAACGAATCAAAAAAGTTGCTTAGCAACATTTCGTTTTTTGTCTCAATTTGCGATATTCTTAGAAAAAACTGAATTTTTAAATTGAACATGAACGTTAAAAATTCAAAAGAGGGAAAATGATCGAATTTCGAAAAAAATGAGAATTAGTTTAAGTAAGAGAGAGGGAAAAAAAAGAGAGAGAGAGAGACTTCTGGTTTTGAAAATAGTCTTGTGCACTTTACCTTCATTATGGCCGAGGAGCGTCGGCAAGAATACGAATGGCGTTTCGTAATGGGGTGTCATCTAAATTTCAAAGGGCCTTCCACTTGATCTTCCAAGTTTAATATTCCCACAACGTCTCTTTGGGTGACTCCTTTTAGTGGTTAGGGCTCCTCCTTACGAAACAAAACGTAAAATCATGTAATTGGCCCCCGACAGTAAAACTATATAACGAACTGTTTATCACGAGATGAAAATCTCAGATGACAAAATTCCTCGTTACTTTATATATACGTATGTATAGAAGAAAACATAAATTCAAGCCCTCGACATTTTTAAAAGGTTTACATTTCAGAAAATTGGATGACTATACATTTATTTTCACACTACAATAATTCCAAGTGAGAAAGTGTTAATTTTCATTGTGACGATAATGTCGTACAATTTGGCAAATCACTGAAATGAAAGTTTTAAGAGAAAAAAATACAATTCATTGCGTTGGTACTTTTGTATTTAATTTCCCCTTCTTCTTAACTTCACTTTTGTTTATATTTTTCATATTTTTTATTTTTTTTTTATATTTCGTACTGTGAAGCCTAATATTTGTTTTGGTACATATTTTACGGTTTCTTTAAATTTTCGTTATCAATTATTTTGCTAGATTATTTGTTTCCATTCGTTAACAATTATTCTTTATTCACATCTCCCGAAGCAAAAACTTTTATTTTCTCTAATTTGTTTTATCTAAAACAAATCCACAAAAAAATAAAATCCAAAAAAAATATCGTTTAACTTCACTCTAAGATATTTAATTATTTATCCTTCATTTACATCTCCCAAAGCAAAAACTTTAATTTTCTCTAATTTGTCCTATCCATCTAATTTGTTTTTATCTAAAAATTAATCCAGAAAATGCAAAAAAATATCGTTAAACTTAACTCTTAAGATAATTCAAAGAAATAATTCCGTCACATCATCTTCTGTTCTCTCCCAATTGCCTGTTTATGTACAATATACAGCAGCTAAGTGAAGAGAAGATACAAGGGGATTTTATAACTCACTATATATATATAGTTGTTATATGTCTCATCGTATCGTCAGTTTGAAACGATTGCATCGTTGTCAAGTGTCTCTAAATGTTCCTCATGTCAAAGCAACGTCAGCATTGCTGACATCTTCAAAAATAAAGGAAAAAAAAAGTAAAAACTCTCTTCATATTGCTACATATAGTTACTGACGTCAAAATGGCATAATCACGAGCTTCCAAATGGTTCACAAAATCTTCAACTTCTCACTTCTGCCACGTGTGTGTCTCTCTTTATATCCACCAATCGAGCAATGTTGTCAATCTCTTTGTCACATATTATACATAATATACCCACTAAGAAATTCTTTACGGGCCTTTTGCAATTTACGCAAAGACTTGACCCTCTTATTTTATAGTTTATTGACTTTCAAACGAGCCTCTAAAATCAAATTTTTTTAAACCCCTTTTAAATATTAAAATTTTAAACACTAATGTATCCTAATTTTAATTTTTAATACCACAGTAAAACGTGAAGTGTTAAAATAACACCAGAATAGATTAAAATAATCTGCAACAGTTTAATTCCTCTAGGATTAAATTAACACCAGAAAGGATTAAAATAATCTATTTTGGTGTTATTTTTAACTATGAATGAAATTTTACTTTAAATAAAACACCAAAGTCAACGATTTGTAAAAATTCAACGAATTCAGCTTCTCCAGGGAGAATAGTTAGTTACTAACTTAGTTACTAATTTACTAACTAACTTAGTAACATAGCCACTAAATTCAATTGTGTTCAAAATTAAAAAAATTCTCGTCAAAATTTCAACTCTCTTTATAAATAATAACATTCTTCTCTGATATTCAATTATTTTACAAAATTTTAATAAAATTCTTGTCTAAATTTCAATTATTTTCAAAAGTTTTATAAAATTCAATGATTTTCAATATTTACTATTTCAATAAAATTTTCCAAAAGAATTCCATTATTAAAAAAAATTTGAATAAAATTCTACGCACACATTCAATTATTTTCATAAATAATAAAATTTTTTACAGGAATTCAATTATTTACAAACTTTTATAAATTTATTTGCAATAATTCAATTATTTTCATAAATAATAACATTTTTACAGGGATTCAATTATTTTTATATATAATAAAATTCTTTTAGAAATTCGATTATTTTCATAAATAATAAAACTCATTGCAGAATTTCAATTATTTTTAATGCAATTTTAATCGAATTCCTCGAAAAATGTAATTATTCTTAAAAATTTAATTAAAATTCGTCCAAAGAATTTAATGATTTAAAAAATTTGTTGATAACATTTTTTATGTGAATTTAATTTCAAGAAACATGAAATTAATAATTTATTTATTTTTGTATTTAAATAATTGAATTCTCGTAGAATTTACTAATAAAAATGGTTTTAAAAATGAATTTCAGTTAAAATTTTAGATTATAATTAAATATTAAAAGCATTATAACGTGGATTTTTAGAAATAATTAAATTTTGAAAAAGTTTCCAATTAAAATCATTGAAATTCTTAATTTTTCATATTTTTGACAAACAATTCTTTAGAATTAATTCTTTTTCAAAGTTTAATAGGATTTTTATTGAAATCATTTCAAGTTTTTATTTTTCAATATATATTTAATTGCAGAATTTCCGAATAATTGAAATTTTGTAAAATTGAATTGTAAACGAATGAATTTGAAAATTCTCAAATAACTTATTTAAAAATTATTAAAAATAATGGATTTTTTGAAGAATTTTAGTTGAAAACACTAGAAAAAAATTTAATTTTAGAGAAGTTACAAATTATTGCAGAAATTCAATTATTTTCAAGAGTAATAAAATTCTTCTTAATGATTCAATTATTTTTACTAACAATAAAACTCATCGCAGCGTTTCAATTATTTTTCATACAATTATTATCAATTATTTAAAAAAATGATTTTTTAAAAATTCTTTTGAAGAATTCAATTATTTACAAAAATATTAGAATTTTTTATACGGAATCAAATATTTTCAAATATTTTAATAAACTTGTTCGAAAGAAATCAAAATATTTTAAACTCAATTTTAATTCCATTTTTTTTGAAAAAATTCAATTATCCTTTTAGGTTTTTATAAAATTCTTCCCAAGAATTCAATTATTTACATAAATAAATTCTTCGAAAGAATTCAATTATTTAAGATAAATAACAAAATTACTCCCAAAAATTCAATTATTTTGAGGAATTTAAATAAAATTTTTTGAAAAACTCAATTATTTTCATAAATAACAATATTCATCACAAGAATTCAATTATTTTTAAAAGCAAAAAATTTCTTCTTGGAATTTCAATTATTTAAAAAAATTCCAATAAAATTGTTCACAAGAATTCTATTATTTTCATAAATAATAAAATGCTTTTTAGGAATTGAATTATTTTTAAAAAAGTTAATAAAATTCTTCCCAAGAATGCAATTATTTACATAAATAATTCTTCGAAAGAATGATAAATAACAAAATTATTCCCGAAAATTCAATTATTTTGTGGAATTTAAATAAAATTTTTTGAAAAATTCAATTATTTTTATAAATAACAATATTCATCACAAGAATTCAATTATTTCCGTAAATTTTAATAAAACTCATTGCAAAATTCAATTATTTTCATAAATAACAAAATTCATTACAAGAATTCAATTATTTTCAAACGTAATAAAGTTCAATAATTTTCAAAAATTTTAATAAAATTCATGGCAAAATTCCAATTATTTTCAAAAAAATTTCTTAATTAAATGTTTTCCAATATTCTTCTATTTTAATAAAAATTTCCAAAAGAATTCAATTATTAAACAAAAATTTCGATAATATTCTACACAAATATTCAATTATTTTCGAGAGTAATAAAATTCTTCCTAAGGATTCAATTATTTTTACTAATAATAAAACTCATCGTAGCTTTTAATTATTTTTCATACAATTATAATTGAATTGCTTGAAAAAAAGAATTATGTTCATGCAAGTTTTAATAAAATTCGACAAAAGAATTCAATTATTTAAAAATTTGTTAATAAAATTCTTTATGAGAATTGAATTTTGAGAAACATTAAATTATTCAATAAATTATTTACTTTTGCATTTAAATAATTAAATTCTTGTAGAATTTTCTAATAAAAATTGATTTTCATTTCATAAAAATGAATTTCAGATAAAATTTTAAATTATAATTGAATATTAAAAGCAATATAACGTGAATTTTTAGAAATAATTGAATTTTGAAATTAATTTTTTTGAAAAAGTTTTATTTTCTTTTATATTATTTGAAGTTTTTATTTTCTCATATGCATTTAATTAAAGAATTTGAGAATAATTGAAATTTCGTGAAATTGAATATTGTAAACAAATCGATTTGAAAATTGCCAAAGAACTTTTTCGAAAATTATTAAAAATAATTTATATAAAGTAAATTTGTAGTGAAAAATTTTTGAAAATAATAATTGAATTGAAATAATGAAAATAATTTTGAAGAAGATTTTTTTATAATATAAAATAATGATTTTATTACTTGGTCATCTTTAATTATTATAAAATATGAAGAAATCGATGACTCCGAGTCGAAGACTCGGAGTTATCGATATCTTCATGTTTTATAGTTATTAAAAAATTTAATGAACTAAAATTTTATTCATTGTAAAAAATATCACCAAAATTGATTATTTTAATCTTTTTTGGTGTTAATTTAGTCTGCAACACTTTTTAATGCCTCACGATTTACTGTGACGACGATAAAAGGGGTAAAACAGTTTCTTAAATTTTTGTTCAAAAACAAATTTTTATGTATGGTAAAGAGAATATGATTTTCTGCTTTTGCTGCGGGTTTATTAGACCGGAGAAAACATAATATATAATTTCTTCAAAAAACTTTTGTATTCGGAACATTTTCATAAAGTAAAATTTGTTTTCTTCTCTAAATTTTCGTATGAATATAAACCACTAAAAATTTTTTCTCCTCAAAAAAAGCAAAAAGAAAAGGGGGGAAAAACACGAACATTATTTCGTCGACTAGAAAGAGTAAAGCGACTGCAACGAAAATGGTTTTCGCTCTCGTAATTCTGGACCGCGGTCCGAACGGAATTGGAATGTTGG